TCTCTTCTCCATTTATCATGATGCTGCTTATTAATATTTAGGATATTTATTTCTGTTGCGTTTTGGTTTTTATGCTGAGGTGTAATCCATTCTGAAGGCTGTAGTGATGCTTCAAGTCCTCTTCCAACATGCAAAGTGGTACATTTGTATATTGCAAGTTGTTAATGAGCCTTCCTCCTGCCTTAATGCTATTAGGTTAATATGCATAACAGGAGCCAACTAATTTATTCATCATTCATAATTTCCTAAGAACTCTTACTGTACCCAATTTCATCGCTTTAATCAAATGATGCAGAGCAATAGGCGATAAGGCCAAAGAGTATTCAGAATACCAGAATGTGCTCATACACAATTTGGGACTTGGATTTTCACTCTTGAGTTAGGCAGAGAGACATGGGAGAGGAGTAAAATGATTTAGCTTCTTGTTTAAAAATGCCTGTCTATTCCTCTCATCCTACCTTCTCATCCTAACTATTGAGTATCATATACAATTCTAACCATTTTTCTTGTTTCTCTGTTCTTATTTTCTCTAATTTGGTTACATTTGCTGGGGAGTATATGAACTAATTCCATATGACATATACAATATTTTATTTTACCTGAAAAACAATGGAAAATCAAAATACTTGACATTTTTTTCCTTTTTTAAAATTTTACTAGATGTGTGTATACAAATAATGATATACCTCTGCCTCTCCAGTTCTATCTATGATTGAATTTCATATTGGAGGCAAAACCATTTATTAGGGACGTTCAAAAGGCTTATGGAAAAATGGAATTAAAAGATAGTGGTATTAAACGTTTTGAAACCATCTTGTAGTAGTCTATAATGGTTAATATTATCTTTCATAACACTAAAATTTGCTAAAATAAAGGTCATATGCAAGAGAAAAATATTAGGCAATTTATCTTTATGGTATCAAACATAAAGACATAGAAGCTACACTACCGTCAATAATTTTTTCAAATATAAAGACGTTTTGAGAATTGACTTTTGAAAATAAGAGCCTCTCAGACATATCTGTTAGTATACAATTTTTATTCTGAAAAAGAGTCATTTACCAGATATTAAGGCACCAGAAGTGATAAGAAATTCGAATTAAAAATTTAGGAGAGAAATAAATTGAATAACTTATTTCCTTTTCTATACCTTATTTTAAGATATTTCAAAACTTCTGAGTGTCAGATGTTGAATATCAGGTCTGTACATTATTACAATGCTTACTTTTTTAATGAGAGAAATTCCAAGATTATTTCACCGATTAATATTTGTAAAATGTTACAACTTGCATTTAAAAATGTTTTCATTCTTAAAAAATGTGCATTCAAAGAGAAAGGTAAATTACTATGAGCTTTTAGAAATATTTATTGCTTGGTACTTTCATCATACTATATTCTAAAAATGCCAATTTATTTATATTCATAATATAATTTTCCCTTAAAAATTAGGTGTATCTGGTAATTATAAGACCCTGTTAATCATGTTATTCCTTATTTACACTGTTTTGCAGCACCCTCTCCAGTCACCAATGTGAAGAAGGGGAAGATTGCTAAAAACAGCATATCTCTATCTTGGCAGGAGCCAGATCGCCCCAATGGAATCATCTTGGAGTATGAAATAAAATATTTTGAGAAGGTGAGACAAATAAAAATTGTTCCTTAAATAGTGTGGAATTATTCAATTTGTAGAAGAGTTTTTTGCAATTTTATGTGTACTCAATGACAATTGGTTCTGATTTAGTTATTTGAAATGTACTATTTGAAATGTACAGGGAATATTCTATTCATATTCTTCTTTGTAAAATACTTTATTCTTCCTGAATACTGCCGTATCATCTATCATTGGCTTATTTTGGTTTCACAACATTTAAATAAGAAATCATAGGAAATTTAAAAAATGTTTCAAGCACTGTATCTATTGTCCTTCTGCATTTACTGCAGTTGGCTACAACAAGAAAGAAAAACAGCTATTTGTTTGACACAACTGTGCATAATACCTATATGAAAAACAAAAAATATAACCTATTGGTACTGAGTATATTTCACCTCAATAGTTATGCTACAGGTCAGAGTAAAACTGCCCCTTTATGCTTCCAGGACCATCTATTTTTACAGGAGGAAGAATTTCTCATCCTGCTCCTTTGCAACAATTGTAGTTTTGCACTGCTGCCCTTATGATTAGCAACCAATGATTCTCTTGCTATATCATCAGGAATCCTATAATACATAGAATTTTAAGTTATTATAGGCAACTGAAATGTACATATAAAACATGTGCTTTTATAAAACTGTGATAGAAATATAATGCTGTAGTTTAACATTATTTTAGAATTGAGGAAGATCAGAAAAATAAGCCCTTATTTATCCTTATTTCCTCATCTCTTTGAGCTGTCTCTTAGGTCTACTCATCCACATTTTTCTAAAAACAGTTACTGGAGTATAAATAGAAACCATACATTTCCTTTTTTTCTGAATTCATAATCCAGTACTACTGAGAAAGGCAAAATACAGACAGAAATTGATAAAAGGGTGTAGTTGGATGGGAGCATGTGGCTCAGATATATATGGCTATAGTCAAATTTCTTACCATCCCACTCTCATTCTATTGTGTTTTTTGTACTGTTAGTAACTAAAGATACACATTGCTTAGAGTGTCCTGGTTAATAGAATATATAAAGATAAGTGGGCAGCCAGATGTATCTCTAGGAGAAGGGTGAGAAATCTTGACCAAGAAGTACGAAACCTATTGAAGTAGTAACAGAAAGGGTTGCAGGTGAACTTCAGGCCAGTAGTTGCTAAAAGAGAAGGGAAGGACTAAATCACACACACTTAATTCCATCTCCCAAACTAGCGGTAATATCACTCCTCCCTTTCTTACATAAAAGTGAGGGGACAAAAATAATGGCACAAATTCACTTCCCAAGACCAAAAGAATTTCCCAAAATAGAACATTAGGAGAAAGAAAAATTGCCTTATAATAATACAAAATGTCATTGTGAAAGTACTTAACAATTCAAGATTCTATAAGTACACACAAAGTGTATACAAATTAATCATATTGATATGTCAACATATCCTAAAATTATATGACTTTTTAATGCTGCTTTTATTTCATTCAACAATGATTTGTATAAAGCCACAACTTGGAACAAAGTCACGCCTGAGTGTGCTCCCTCTGCTCATTCTTTTTGCTTTTGAATGCTATTAAAATGTTTTCACATTGATTTTATACATACATAAATAAAAAGTCCATTTTTATTCCGGGCTAGCCATCTTCTAGGAATTACTTGTTGACAGTATTACATGAAGTTATTGATCCTCCGTTATGGATTACAACTCAATGTAAAGAAATAAAAATCCTTATAACTAGAACAATAGACAGCATCATGATGAACAGAGAAACGATTAAAGTTGTCATGGATTTCATTTTACTTAAATGCGCATTCAATGCTCCTGGAAGCAACAGTCAGTAAATCAAATGATGCATTGCATTGCACAACTCTGCCATGAAAGACCTTTATAAAATGTTAAAGATAACAAAGATGACTTTGTGAGGATTAAGATGCATCCTACCCAAGTCATGGTATTTTCATTCATCTCATGTGCGTGGGGAAGCTTGCCAATAAGTAAGGAAGACCTTGGGGCATCTGAATGCTGGCATTGACAAAGACTATGGGAAGTCCTGTGGATGCCAGAAGAACAAATATCTGCCCTGGTGATATACAGTTCCCATGCACTTTAGAAGTCACGATGGTTAGTCTTCATCTCACATACTTTGGACATCTTATAGAAGAGACCAGAAGATACCATCTCTGTAAAGGATACCATGCTTATAACTTATAGGCCAAAATAATGAAAAGTGGAAGACTTTTAATGAGGTGGATGGATAGAGTGGTTGTAGCAATGAACTCAAACATAATAATTATGTGGCTGGGCAATATTTTCTTCTTCATTGTGTAGTGCTACTATGACCTAGAACCAGTTTTATGTACCTAAAAAGAACAGTTATAAAATCTAGAGTAAATTACCCACTCATTAGGCAGTCTGTGTAACTATGGTGCCTTGCACATTGCTGTGATGCTGGAAGGCGTACCACTAGCATTTCAAATACCGAAGGTCACCCTTGATAAACAGCTTTCACTGGAACTGCCAGGCTTTGCAAGACTAGGAAGAAAGAACGGGCTGTTCAAAACCTAGAGATCAGTGACAGAAACCCTCTGCACAGCAGCAGAACACTGTGAGCTGTAGTCCGGGAAGTGAGCGCCTCTGGCTGGAAGACACTCGACAAGTGACGGAGGAAGAGCTGCCTCCTTACATGAGAGTCAGCCTTGATAATGTGCTTGGAGAAATGTTTGTAGGACCTGAATTTGCTGAACCACTCAAAATGCGAACTAACAGCTTCAAGCAGAGCATTAATAATCAGACCATGGATTCTATCAAGTTGAAGTTATAAAAAATGGAGCACACAAAAAGCAATATTTTAAGCCTTAATGAGCTGAAATGAAGTGACATCAGCC